CGGCGCAGGAGGCTCCCGGTACCTCGCTCCTGCACCCGGTTCCTTGGGATCATAAACCCGCCCAGTCCATTACACTTAAAATGAGTTTCCGCTCTGAACCCACGCGGGTCCCCCATCTCTTAGAAAGCACACTGAGTCTTTGATTCAATATTGAGCCATTAAGCGATTGCTTTCCCAAGCCATTTAACAGCAGCTCTTATGGATAAATAAACAAAAAAGGCTGTAAACCAATTACAGTGCGGATAGTGAAAAAGTATTTTATTAGCGGGAATTACCGATAGACATCGCTGCTGCTCGGGCTCCCCCCGCCCGGCGCCCTCCCTCTCCATCCCCTGGCATGCCGGGCGGGGGGCGCGCCCTGCCCGGGGCTCGCAGCCGGTGTGCGGCCGGGGGGGATGCGCTGAGCCAGGCGAGCTCCCTTGGCGGTGGGGCCCCCCCTGCTCAGCACCCACGTGCCCGCGATGCCTCCCCTGAGGTCTCTCGCAGGCATGTGTGTCCTTCGATCCGGAGACCTCTTGCGCACCGAGCCCAGCCCGGCACCCCCAGCCCCTTCCCCAGAGATCTGCTCCCCGGAGCATTTACAGCTCCGGGCTTTCCACGGAGAACCGGCGCGGACAAACAAACGCGAGGCCATAAAACCCAGAGCAAATTGATTAATCTCCAGGGAGGACCATTACCCGGTGTCTTAATGCGGTCCTCTCTCTATAACGAACGTTTCTAAATAGAACAAACACTTCCCCCTCCAAAGCAAATGAATTTCGTATAATTTAGAGCTAATTCTCTTTCATTCTGCCTGCGTGAGCAGGTGATAAGGGCACGCTTTGCCGTGCTAACAACAAGGCGGCGAGCTGCAGTGCAGGAAAAGGGCCCCGCCGGGTGTCCCGGCACTGGGGACCCTGGCCCGGCCCGGGGGGTGGTGATGTCCGGCAGCCGGGGGGCGACGGGATGGGGAGCTAAGCCCGGCCGGAGCCCGAGCCCAGGGATCACCGCTGCCTGCCTCCTCCTCCTCCTGGGACTCAGTCACTAAGATCTGGCTGAAGAGCCCCTCCACAGCTGTGGGTTCCCAGGCGAAGCCTCTGAGCTGTGAGTGGGTCCCACCCCAGTGCCCACTTGGTGTGGGAAAGGGGTGATGGAGGAGGCAGGTGGGAGTGATGGGGAATGGCCCTGCTCGCCCCGGAACCAGGCTCTGCAGACACTGCTGTGCTGACTCAAGGCAAAGGTCCAGTGACCCCATACCCTCTCCCTAAATGATGTCCATACGCATTGCCTCGGGCGGTCACAGCAGGGTGTGCACATGAGATACCACACCCAAACCTTCTCCCAAACTCCCAGAATTTTCTGCTCCAGGGATTTCCTGAGCCGTGTGGATGTTATAGTCCTCAGTTGATTCTTCCACATCTTAAGTGTCCCCTGAAACCTTACGTAAACCTTTTGCCTCCCACCAGCTTGTGGCAAAGCATTCCCCAGATTAACTGCAGCTCTGAGGCACTGCCACCCTTTGCTGCCCGTGCACCTGGCTGCATTTAATCAGTCCTAATTCCCCTGTTGCCATCCTACAATAAGATCGTGCAATAACCACACTGCAATACTTGGATTACCATATTAAATTCAAGAGTCTTTTAAGGGCTTGTTAAGATTTGATCATATTCTTCTAGCTTGGTGTTTGCCTAACAGAGAAGAGGTTGTCTGTATGGTTAGCTGTTAGTCTGTATTACATGAAGCCTAAAACTTTACAATATAGTATGAATGTGGCCGTGTGCCCAGTGGTTTGGAAAGCCAAGCCACATACCTAATGTCGTATCTATGTGGTTTTAAAATGTATGCCAATATATACAACATGCCTCTTGAAATTCAGTGGCATTTTCAATGATCTTACCTTTAAATCGTTAATTTAGGAGCATAATGTGAGTCACTGTATTTTGAAATTCTTGTCCGCTTCTTCCCCGGTAGTGTCTGACAGACATCACTGCAGGCTGCTGAGGTCAGTGAAATGCAAAACCATCTGGACACAGTATTATTTTTTTTCCCTAGGAAAGGCAGGAGCATTTTGTTTGCCTTTCAATGCAAATAATTTGTGAACCCCTACTCAATTTGTGACCCTTTCCCGTCATGACTGATGGTAGTTTCCTCATTCCTCCCGCCTCCCTGACTACCTAACTAGAGTATAAAATAGTAAGGAGCGTAGTTCAGTCACACTTCCTAATAGTGGTCTGGTTTGATTTTCTATATCTGCATGATATTTGATGACTTCTCAGCGCTCAACCACTTTTTTGCAATCCACATTTAGACAGAAAAGAAGTACTGAAGGTGAGCGGGACATACTCCAAATAGTATCTTTTTCTCTCCCAGCCATGCTCAGACCAACACAGGGAAACTGTATCCATGGCAAGGGCTGGCAGCAGGAGAAGGAGAAGTTGACTGGGAAACAGAGCTTTCCCAGGGATTGATTTTTAACTGCGCCCCCCCACCCCCCCGGCTGTATCTAGCAGAAAGGTAACCTTTCACAAAGCTGGTTAATAATCAATAACCATGTGAAAACAAAGCTGTCTTTCCCTCTTAGCACTAACGATAAAAACAAGAGCACGAACTATTCCACCTGCCTTAAAGTAACACTGGTTCATCAGCTTTTTTTTGGCAAGAAGCTTTTTTGGTCTCTGAGTGATTCTGCATTCACACATGGCAACTTCAGTTTGCTCTTCCCACCACGCATCAGCTTCTTCACACCGTAGGTGTGGGCCACATCTTGAACTGCAGGAAGACACATTTATGTAAGCCATTTTGAGTAAGACCTTGTCCAGGAAATATATAGGAAAGTTGCCTTGGGAAAGGCTGAGAGTAAGCGAGGATCTTATATGCATAGTCTCTTTTTACATTTTCTCTTTTACACCTTTTAATTTTCTTCCCATCCCTCCCGATATTCATAATTTCATTTTCTGATAGGAATATTGCCTATTATCAGGGAAGCACAATTTCATTGCCTTGTAAGAAGAGTTGAGGAATTACTTTAAAATACTGTGAACCTTTCTACTGAAAACACAGCAGTTTCATGTTGTCTGCCCCACACAACTTTCTATTTTCCACTTCATGTTTATTATACCAGATAGGAGTAGAAAAAACCTCAATATACATGTATATTCAGATAGTTACAGATAGAGATATTCAGGGCAGAGCTATAACCCAGAGAGAACTCCTCCTCACATCCCTTGCCTGCTTGACTTTTCCCCTAGACCCTGGGCTTTTCAGGGCAGGGCAGGTTTCGGGCTCAGCCGGAGCCTGGCCGCACAGGTGGCACCTGGCAGTTCTCACCATAGCCCTCCCCTCTTGTTTGTCCATTGTAACTTTGCCGGACTTCAACCATTTGGGCTGAAATTTTCCATTCTGTATCTCCGCCTCCCACCAAACATGTAGGAAGACTTTCCTTAAAATGGTTCGAACCAGTACAAAATGGTGACACACTGGAGCTGGCTGTATGGGGAGGGTGTGGAGTCACTGCCTCTCCAAGTCTCTGAGAACAAGAGCTATGTATGCATGGCTAATCGCAAACTGGAGTAGAAGACTGGAATAGCTGATATCTGGAGACAGCAATCCTACACAGCATTTTCCTGGCCTGTTTTCTTTGCTGCTGTGTTTCTTCACTGGATTTAAGTACGTTAGACATCCTGCTGGGATGTTGTCCCACCGTAATGTCCCCCCAGACCAATCTCTTTGTGCAAAGCTCCCTACATTTAGTCAAACTCTGAACTGCTGCACATCACACAGGCTCCACAGATACGTCTTAAAACTTAGCAGCTAAGCCCTTTACAACTTCTTTCTACAGTAAGCAGGTCCCAGCCCTGGGCCTCAGGACTGAACGAGTGCTCACTGCGTTGCAGTCGTGGTATCAAGCCCAGGAGCTGAAAAGCTGGGAGATGTTCCCAACGCTCCATCTTCCAGCCCTGGGCAGTGTGGAGGAGGAAGGTGATTTATGCAGAGGACACATAAAATGCTCACCCTTCAGAGGAAAGAGTTTGAAGGTCTAGGTTGGGGCGTGCTCCCAGATCAGCTCTGGGTGAGACCTGGAAATATACCAGCCTGACCTTTTTCCCCTCCCCTGTCCCTGCCCACAGCGAGAGACATGGGTGCAGGAGCCAGGAGAGAAGGAGGGCGTGCTCTCAGCAGCCCTCTGCCTGGGTGGGAAGCAGGACCTGGGCTGCGCTGCCGGGGGCTCCAGCAGGTCCGACCAAAGGGAGATGATGTAACCTTGATGAATCTCTTGGGTTGAACTTCACAGAAAGTGTTTCCAGCTGCAAACACCTTGCTTTTCTGGGTGACTGGTCTGCAGCAGCTTGAGGTACTCCCAGGAGAAGGGGAAGCTTTTGGGGAGCTTTTGGGGTTGTGAACACCCAATGCCACAAGAACTGGGCTCTGGAAGTGTCTTGACCTATTCCAGTGCTGTCCACACGGGCTTTTTCTGAGCTGGTGGGCCCAGTAGCACTTCCGAGCACTTCAACTAGGCACTAGGAATTAGTAGAGACTTTTAAACTTAATCCCACTTGATCTAACATGGATTTCAGAAGGTATTTACATGGTTACGCAATGATTGAAATCCATTTGAAAATCAGGGCACCAGATTTCATTTTCCCCTCCATAAACTGATACCACATCAGCCCTGGAGGTGCTGTGAATCTCTCAGAGCCCACAGAGGGAAGTGCTAGGAAGGAGCCCGCGAGGAAACCCACCCCCCTGTCCTCTGAGCATGGGTGTAATAAAATCTGCAGTGAGTAAGTCTTGGACTCAAGGACCTCAGGAGGGAAAGTAGAACAAATGCAGAATTCGTTTAACTGGGCTTTGTCTATAACATGTAAATAAGAGAAGAGTCCTGGGAAGGACCAGGAGGAGGGCAGGAGACAAAATGCCATCTCACAGAGTATGTAGACAGCAGCATCAACTGAAGGTGTTCAGTAAACTTTCTTGCTCGTATTTCCTTCCCTATGTAATACACTGCAATGGGCCTCATTCTTATGTTCATCCAACAAGGGAAGAGAAATGTATCTACACCTTACATGTCCAGTCAGTTATAACACAGATTGAATTCTAAATATTTAAACAAATATATATTTTTTAAATTAAGAGACATCTGCCCTCTGAAAACTTTTTAAGACCTCTCATGTTTTAAAAAATGAAGGAAAAGAAACTAGAATTTTCTCACAGATAATTCACAAACACGAAAGGAAGCAGAACTAATTAAATAATATGGATTGCTTATTTGGTCTGCTGCAATGATCACTGTTTTCCTTGTGTATATAAAATAATCTGAATATTTATTGTGCAGTGCAACATCTATTAGCTT